TGTGGATGTGGCCTCCACATTTGGTTCTGGATTTGCAGTGTAGCATTGTCCAAATCTTTGTCATCCTGGGCTTCCATTTTCCTACTACAAAGTGAGCTGGCTGGCTAAGGCCTCTAGTGCTCATTGTTGTGGAACTCTTTGATTTGATAATTGAATCAAATCAATTCAAAGGGCAGAGAAAAGCTTAGAAAGTCTTAGACTCCTGTTTTAGACGAAGCTCCTGTGTTGTTATAATCCCCTCCTGTTATACAGAAAACATAGCAAGTGGAGAACAGCAACAAAAAAGACCCGTTGTTTCCAAACCTTCATGAGCCAGAAAGAATGAAAACAATACTCACGAATTAGAAGTGCTGGACCCAACTCTGAGTAGTTTATTACCTGCAAATCTTGCTTCTTATGGTCGACTTTGCGAGGCTGGCTCGCCTGAGATTCTGTGACTGCTGAGGGCCAGAGTCCAGAGGGAATCCCAAGGCAAGGAAAATTCCTTCTGCTCATAAAAGTATAACTGAAAGATTGTAAGAGAAATGTAAAGTACTGGATGCTGGGGCAATTTAAGGAAAAGTGGTATGATTAAGCATCCAAAGATTTATTGTAATAGCTGCAAATTAATTAATTTTCCTTAAACAATCCACATCCCTCATAAAATCCTCATCTAAGTGCCTTGAGTTAGCCATAAAAATAACAACCACACACTACAACAGTAATAACAGCTAACATTTATTGAGTGCCAAATATATGCAAAGTTGTGTGAGGAGCTACATGGGAATATTTATTTCATGGAGGCCTTACAAAACACTAGCAGTTATGTTTTTTTCCTGTTTTGTAGATAAATAAATTGCAGTTTGCAGAGCTGAGATCATTTGCTCCAAGTGACACACATAATAAATAAGTGGTAGAGCCAAGATGTAATCAAGGTTCTGTTAGATTCCAAAGCCGCACACTGTTTGCCTCCTTCCCTTTCCCTCTTAGGTCATTTTGAAAGCTTCATAACTGCATCAGCATCATCAGTGGCAGCCAGAGGCTGTAGAGAGTTTTCAATGAATTGAAGCTTTACCAAAACATCTGAGTTAGGAAAAGCGCAGTTAGGGAAAAAGAGACAAATGAAACAGCAACTATAATAAATTGTCCTGGTAGCTCAGATATTAACCAGAGTTGGAATATCAGGATCCTTCTGAACTTTGTCAAAAACAAAAGGACACATGCCCAAAGCTCACCCTAGAACAGATGGAATATCTATTTGTATTAATTTATTTGGGGGACAATTTTCAGGTATGTCCATATTATTTGTTGAAAAATCTATTTTTCCCCATTTAATTTCCATGACAATTTTATTAAAAATAAATTAACCTGAGCAAGTTGTGGTAATGGTTCATGCTTGTAATCTTAACCCTCTGGGAGACTGAGCCAAAAGGATCACAAGTTTGAACCCAGCCCGGGCAACTTAGTGTTTAGTGAGATTCTGTCTCAAAATGAAATGTAAGGAAAGGTCTGGCAATATAGCTCATGGCAAAGGCCCTTGGTTCAATCCTTAGTACTTCAAAAGAAAAAAAAAAATCAACTAACCATAAATGTAAGGGATTATGCCTTGGATCTCAATTCTATTCCATTGACTTACCTGTGTATCCTTATGCCATATCTCTTACTATCATAAATTTTGACACTGTGGATTCTGAGTCGGTCCTCTTAGGCCTGTGTAATTTTGAAAACTTCCACTAGTAACTCATGTGAGGTCAAAAAGTAGAGGCCACTGGGCTCAGAAGACCTAAAATCACTTCTGGAAATCACTCTGGACTCATGGAGAAAACCAAACTTTCCAACAGTTCTTTGATGCTGCTGCTCCAGTCACCAGGAGTGGGTTCCAACAGGGAGCCTTTTTGAGCAGTGTTCCCCAATTTATGGCTGTTAATAAAGCTCCTCAATGTCCCGACCATACTTAACTTGAATTGAGAGTGTCTCTAAAAAATCCTAGTCATTGAAAAACAGTAATTCACATGTATTTTCAATTTTGTGAGAAAGGTCTAAAATTTTTATCAGATTCTCAAAGGAGTCCTTAATCTAAAACAAGAAGTCATACCCTCTGGGTAGGGTTGCCCCTCCCACTCTATTGGGAGAATCCAAATTCTAAACCAGGCAATGGTGAAATTTGCAAGTGACTTTTGCTGACAGTTTCTTTTGCTCCATCATAAAGGAGAAGTTACTTTTCTTGGGAGGAAATAGACCAAGTTGAACACTCTCTGCCACTTACCCCAAGAAACTGTGTTGTGTTTACCTGTGTGCAGTTCTCCAGGGAGGAGATGGAGCTGAGGAAATGTGTATCCACTTCGAGCTCTACCTCTAAGAATGGCCCTGGAAATTTTCAAGAAAAGAAATGGTGTGAGATAATGGCTGATCTGCCAATGGCCTTTGTAAACTTGTGGCCTTTGTCTCCCAAGGCGAAACATCTACTGTCCTAAGTGCCTCCAGATACCCTAGTACACAAAGTATGCCTGTTATGGTTGATACATTGTGTCAACTTGGGGAGTCTAGAGGTTTGGCTAAGTGACTCAACAGAAAGCCAGGGTGCTTACTTTGTATACATCCTGAGCCTGTGGAAGA